AATGGACACCATAACCACTTGTGCCACATGTCCCGCCACCCACGAAGCTTACTCGACTCTGCCGTCTCCAGCGTCTGCACTCTTCATATCACGCCGACGAAATACGTCACCTCGTCACTGAAGGAACAGTGGTGGTGCCTCAACAATCATCAATAACGCATAAATTGTCAGGTGCAGTAAGAGCCATCACCACCACTGCTTATTTCGGTAAGCTCCTAGGGGACAAGTTTTTTCTATCCTGTGTCTCAGCGCTAAGAGGTATCTGTACTCCTAGCACGCATCAACGCAGTACTCTCTGCTGTGTCATTAATAAACCTTATATCCATCTCCATTTTAATAAATGGCCTTCGGCTAGTCTGCTAGGACAATCAATTTTCACACTGAAGTCCGTGATAAAGCATGAAATACTAAGAAACGCTAGTTGATAATAGCAACTCTACTACAATTCAACGGAGAGACGAGGAAGAAAATGAAGAAGAGTAATTGTATAGAAGTCGTTACGATAAGTGTTAAAAAAGAAAAGATAAGCCACCAACGTTTGAGGGGGATACCACTATCCTAGGTGCTTTATCGGCTCACTTTTTGCTCAACGAAAGCTACACCCCACCATCTCACAACACATCTGAACGAGCTATTCTTATAGCACACCACAGAAGCGATTATGCAGCAACAGAACATGACTTCACATTCACCACAGCCCATATGCTCTACTTTTGCATTCTCATTGATACACGGACCATCAAAGTAGATAATCAACTTGGTTTACGTGCATTTACTTAACAAAAAGAGGCTTCTTCGTCCATTTTATTGCTTTAGGCTCAACTACTAGGCCCCAGACACTTTAAATTGGTCAATTATAACACACCAATAAAGAAGAGACTTTAAATAATTGACATCGAGCTCATTTGCAGAAATTAGAATATAAAGCGTGTGGCGAAGGTGGCGAGGGCTAAGCACTTACTGTAACTCCTACCAGATGGCAGTCACCGAGACAGCAGCTGCACCCACGGTGAAGAAAGCGGAGGACGGAGGCAAGTGATTTCTAGACTTCTGAAGTCCCGCCTAGGATGCAACCTTTTGGGCATTCACCTCCTCCCACATACACGGTGCCATGGGACTGCGATTGACCATCTCTGATCCTCTGAACGTAGTGCCAAAAGAATCGCATTTTGTCAAATTGGGCAAGAAAATCCCTGATCAAAGAGTGCAGACTATTTGGGCACTCCAAACACTGTACTGCACGAAGACGTTCTCCTTATCCTCTTCAACTGAGAAACAAGGAGAGAGAGAGAGAGGGATGTAAATACGAGGAAAAATCAGTTAAATAAATACATCAAAATCGACAACTAAATATTTCTTTCTTTGACAAAGATGTAGGATAGTAAAGTCTTTTGAACAATAATCACTTTATTGACTCACC